TTTATCCACTGAAGTCCAAGGGTTAGATCCCTCTCTGTACCTCACTTTGGATGTCGTTTTTGCCCTTTGAAGTCAGCTTGTTTAGTGGGGTAACCAAGAGCAGCATCTGGCTTCTCATTTCAGCCCTGATAAAACGCCACTCAAACCAGCTCAACTAAAACCATTTTTACAGCCACAATAAAACTTTTGGTAGCTGCAACTTTGAACCTCAAATTTCAGAGAATCATTTTAATCGGCTTGTTTTTATAGAACTTAATTTACGGGTGCTTTAAATTGCAAATAATTTTCTAACGCAATAATAATTTAGGGAATGCTTTTAAAAAAAAATCTGATCCATGGATGTCTTTAAAAATTGTGGTGTGACACCCAACTGATACGGAACATCCTATTTATAACGTGGGCCAAGCACCACGCTGTAAACCAGTTACTATCATGATGATCAGATTGAGAATGAAATTGCATTTCTGTCAATTACTGAGTTGGCAACTGTTCAATATATCTTAGCAGCAGGATGAAGAGCGGCGGCGGCAGCTGAGGGAGCGAGCTCGTCAGCTAATAGCAGAGGCTCGATCTGGAGTGAAGATGTCAGAACTTCCGAGCTACGCTGAAATGGCTGCAGAAAAGTTGAAAGAAAGGTCAAAGGCATCTGGAGGTGAGTTAAGGAACCTCGGATCTTATTCCTATGGCAACCTAGAAGCCCGAGAAGACCTTTGTGGGTGTCACTTTTATTCACACTTCAAACTGGCGGTGTCAGGAGTTGTTGTGCAGCAAGTGCACGTATCAAAAGACCATCCCTAGATAAGTTTTCCAAATCGGGGTTATATCACTCAATTTCCAGCAATTAAAAGGAAGGGGTATATGTGATTGCAGAGAAGCGGTATTTAGTGTGAACCAGTCACTCCTATACGCATGTTATTTATGGATTTACCCTTACCATGATTTTTGGAATTTCCTGGCAATTGCTTACAGTCCCTCCAAGATGTATTTTATTTAGGAGTAGGGCCATAATATTTGGGGAAAAGAACATTAGGAATACCTGAGAACTTTATTTTTTATTAAATGTGTTCTAAAAGACTATTTTTAGTCTTTTAAAGTTGGAAGCAATAACCCTTTGATTTTAATGGCAGTCTTTTGACATCCCTCTTGCCTTTACATGTTTTCGGTTGTAATATTGCTATAATATTATTAAACCGACTTTGAAATGTCATTCCAATTCATATACCTGCCAGTGCTGTGAGCAGGAGTAATGTAGTGTCACTCAAATGGGTCCTGAACACATATTTCTCTACAGGCTTCTTCCTCTTTTAGTGTCTCCTACATATTCCAAAGGGAGATTCTGTTTTTTGTACTAACATGTAATATTAAAGCAGAGAGTCAGGGAAATCCAGCTTTATATTTGCAGCACATGTAGGTTCAGCAATGAAATGATTTTTTTCCTCTACTATATATATTTTCTACGTACATGTTTAAATACATGTTCTTACATGTTAAAAACATGTTCTTATTGCATACTAAAATCCTACATAATGCCAAAGAGAAAGCAGTTTGTTGTGTGTATCTCTCTGGCTCTGGTCTTCAGGTTTCTTCTCTCTACCCAATAAATCGATGTTGCCAACACACTCTTGCTTATTGATAAATAGGTGCATTCAGTCACTGATGAGCAATAAGACATTTTATAAAAATTCTCTGAACTTACAAATATTTTGGTTCAGAGGGTGCTCTGAGGCCAGAAGGGACACCCCAAAGTGCTTAAAAAGAGAAGAAAAAGGGAAGGGAGATTGGTCATGGTTCCTGTTGCAGGGCCTTCCCAGTCCCAAATGTCTCTATTAAACTTGTAAGAGTATACATGTACACACATGGATTAAACATGTAAGAGTGTACATGTATACACATGTGTTAAGCATGTAAGAGTACATCCCATCTGTGGTTCTACCAGTTCCTCTGAAAGCCACGGGGCAGTGGTTGTCAGCCAGGGAGTTCTTGAAGTTCCTTGTTGGGTTGGAGTGGGAGCTGGGTTGGAGTTGGGTCTCGCTCCATGGGAGTGAAATGGCCCCGTGCTTGTGTCTCAGAGTGCTGTGATGTTCTTCAGCCCTCTGCACTGTTGGTGACTCCCCATCCCACTGGTTCCCCATCCCGCTGGTTCCCCATCCATCTCGGGTTTATCCTGCCTGTCCAGAGCTGTTTCTCGTCCTGCCACCTCTTCCCTCCCGTGCTTCCCGTGCACAGCCCGCGTGCTCGGTTAGGTGGCAGTTACATTCTCAGGCCTCAGCAAGTCCCTTGCAGTTGCTAAATGGTGCCACAATGTGACTTTCTCTAAGATTCGGCCTTCCCCGATCAGAATTTCCTCTGAATTTTGCTGCTGGCTCTTTCTGTCCATCACTAGGTTTATCAACTGCCTTAGAGGAACTGTGTGCTTAACACTTGTGCAAACAGTCCTGAACTCTTCCTCTGCCACTCAGGAGAGCGTTTAGTCCCTGCGTTGGCCAGGGTTCAGGTTCTTCAGCCTAGTTAACAAACTTGCCATGGGCAAGTTTGGGCGATTATTGCTTTCAGGGGGCCTGGATCTGCCTCCCTGGTTTCTCCAGTTCCTCTCAATATCTGTACTGCTGCAGTCAAACTTGATGCAACTCCTGCAAATGCTTCCTGCTGTCTCATTCCATTGCTCCGTAGGGATTTTAGGCACATTCTGTCCCTCTTTGGGTGCATCTGAATGTCTGTGTGCAGACTGTGCCAAGCGCTGCTTCCTGTTGCTCTCTGCAGCCAAGCCACAGGTCTGTCATCCCTATGGAAGTGTATATGGATGACTGCATATGCACTCCAAGGTTCAGTGCTGGTAGAAGAGCAGACAGGATGAATATCACCAACTTATCTGAAGCTTTCACCCTTTTACCTGTTGGGTTTTGTCTCGTGTAACATCACTGCATTTCAGCTTTGGCTTTATCTCCTTGGTTTGTATTTGCTGCATGAGTTTTCCTTTGTTCGTGCAGCATTTTGTCCAAGTTATCTTGACTACTTCCAGTTTTCATTCCCTGTCTCCTCCATGTTCTTTTCCTGTCAATGTGGGAATATTCCGGCACTTCCTTGTACTCATTCCTTCTCAAAAAGCTTTCTTTATGGCCCATCTTCAATGTATTTCCACAACACTCTTCATAATTTCATACGCTACTTCTCTACCCAAGAAATTCATTCTTCTAAAAATGAAATAGTTCTGTGACATTCCACCAACAGTTTATAATCCAAATAAATCATAACTGTTTCTGGTTCTTCATTTCCAGTGTAAATTAGCATTTAATATACAGTGTCTCCTAGTTACAACTGTTGTGAATATTACCCCAGTTGCATTCACGTGCTGCTGCCTGTAGCCAAAATGATTTTCTCTCCCTCAGTTCAATTCTTCCAGAAAAAAAAAATCAACATTTGGATTTTGGAGACTAGAGATTGATTCTAAAGACTAATTTCTTGCTCATATTGCTGGTGAAGCTCTGCTCTCTTTCATTATTTCTATACTCTCATTGAGAGTTTTGTGTTTTGGCACTGCTGCTACATTCTCTGCTAAAGGTTTTATTTAATCATGGTCTGAGAAACTCAAACCCCTATGGCAAAGAGAAACTTCCCTGGATAAGCAGCATCCTTTTCTACAAAATGCCGTCTTTTTCAGGAGGTTATTTGGCATGTGAGACAGAAACTACTTCGTTCTGCCAACAGCCAGAGGGTTCAGGATGGCAGCTTCATATTTATTAGGTGTCCTACTAGCTTCAGGCTGATAAGCAAACGCTTTGAGGTGGATCCTGGGACAATGTCAAGATAGGAATCCAAATACCCTCTCTTTTCCCAGCAGCGAGGGGGCCAAGGAATTGGCATCTTATCTAGGTGTTGTCCCTGCTCTTTGGGGATGTGGGCAGCGTGCTTGCTTCCTTCTGGCACTTCTCCCCCTTTATGTGGGATGACAGGTTTGCAGGGAAGTATCTGGAGGTGGCCACGGGGCAGCAGAGGGAGGAAAGCCACAACGGGCAGGACGAAGGGAACACAAGCCTCCCATTAAGAGGCTTGGGTGAGAAAAGTGCCCAAAACAGGCAGAAAGGGAGGGAAAAGACAGAAAAAGAAGCATCCAAATGTGCTGTAGGACCCAAAATAGAAAAAAAAATGTTTAAAAGATGTTGGAACCAGTGACAAAAGCTGGAAAGACACAAAGAGGTGCTGCAGCTCAGAAAGCTCAATTTTGTGGTTTTAACAGGCAATATTTTCTCTGCAGATTTTAAGGGTTCTGCTCCATCTACAAAGCAGCAGGATATATTAGCTGTAAAATTGCTCTGGATCATTTTTTCCATGTACTTCCGAAAAAGTCTTATTTTGACCTGTGTCTGGCTCTCGTCAGACTTACAGCTGTATAGATAATGACTCGTGCTGCTTAGCTGTTGGCCTAATTATGTATCTTTAATTTTGTTCTTTTGTTCACAGTACGATCAGAGTTTGCTGTCTTTCTAGGATCCACATTTATGTATCTTCTCAAGAAAGCATTTTTCTAGCGCTCCAAAATACAGCCCCCGGTTCTAGAACCAAGAGCTTTAGCTTTTTCTCACTATTTTTTTTTCATAAAAGACATCTGTTATCTCTTCATCACGTTATTCCTTTTATTGTTTATAATTGCAGAGTCATGTTGGAACAGGCTTCCAAAACATGCTTTCATTTTTATTACCATGGAAGTACTTTGGACTTGAAGAAAACCAGAGTGTTTTAGAACAAAGGACCTGTCAGCTTTGCAAAATATTTGAAAACTTTTGAAATTTCTTACAAAAAATGCTTGCAATTGACAGCTCCTTGTAGAGGGTAAGCATCATGATAGTCATACTCCACTAAGACCTGCCAACTTTAAATGAAATATGGGGTCAGGTCATTATGTGACATAAGGGACAAGTCAACATTTCCATGTCTTCTGTTGTCTAAAACAGTGGTGTCAAAGCCAGTGCCTCCGGTTTCTTCTCACTGTATTAAATGGAATTAGGGCAAATCAAATAATCTCATCCTAGTATTCCCTTAGTATCGGGCAGCCTTCAAGGCCGGCATCTCGCTACGAGCACTTGGTACTGGCCACTGCTGCCTCCAAGCACTTTGGGCACTTTGTAAAGTCGTTTGCTGGCTCCGGGTGGCTTCGATTGCCCTCTGCCACTACCGGGTTCCTCTTTGGTTGTCTCCTGCCTTTCTGCAGGTTGTGCTTTTTACCCCGCGCCTCTCCTGCTTCCTGACGTCCCCTTCAGCTTCATTCCTTGCCTGCCTCCCCACAGAGCTCCACTGCGGGCACCAAGGAGGTACAGAGGCCTCGAGGAAGAAAGGACGAGCAAGCAGGGTGGGGAAAAAGGGGAAAAACCCAGGAATTAGCTTCCTAAAATGGAAATCATGGGCATAAGGAAGGAAACAAAATAAGCAACTGCCTAAGCCGTGCTTCAGCGGCGTGGGTGTGAATGCAGGTCCCGGGCTGGGGCTGGAGTGCCCTGTATTCCAAGAGGGACCGCGAGTGTCAAGGGCCAGTCCAGGCCCAAACTTCCTCAGGCTTGTGGTGTTTGAGATTACAATTTCCTGTTACGATATTTAGGATCCTTTTAGTTTAAATGGGGAGCGAACGTACAAAAGTCTTGCGGTTATAAAGAGCATTTATGCCTATCAGGCATTTCTTTAAAGTGCCTTTCAGTTAATATATAGGTGTATTCTTTCTCCTGGTATACTCTAGCCATCTCTTTAGTCATTTTTACAGCCATGTGTACATACATAGGAAAAAAATGTGCCTGTGAGTCTGAACAAGAGTAGATATCACTTGATGTGAGACTAAAAATGAATAAATACAATGCAACTACATGTTTTGAAAGTATTAATCTAGCTTTTATGGATGTCGTTTAATTTAATTATTTCTTTGTATTGAAAATGTGAAACAGGGCTTTTTCTGTGATCTCCTTCA